TTATCCGAGTTGATTTTCCGAGATGGTCCTGATCCACATTAACTCGGATAATCGGGACGTTACTCTATTGTACTTCAACGTTAACACTGTTGCGGTCATTATCTTCTTTTACTTTATTTAATTTTTTACACTTACACTTATCGGTCGCAGCAAAATAAATACAATCTTTCTCCTTTCTACTTTTCTGCCTTATTAGAGAAAAATTAAATAAAGTAAAATAAGATAATGGCCGCAACAGTGTTAACGTTGAAGTACAATTGAGTCCCGATTATCCGAGTTAATGTGGATCAGGACCATCTCGGAAAATCAACTCGGATAAACTGGAAAGGAAAAATAAAAAGTAACAAAACGCATTTATACGTATTATTTCACATTCGGTGAATAAGGATGAAATGATACATAGAACATTCCGATGGTGTTTCCGAATGCAGCCCTGAGACGAAGTGCCTCGCGTTCTGTTGATGAGTCCATCGTCTAGTTGCTAAAACATGCGCGGTAAGAGGGTAACAGTTCTGATTAAAAATACTTTAAATCCATTTTTATGTCCATTTTTACATAAAGATATTATTAAAACGTTTTTATTAATATTAAAATTGATAATTAAAAGAATTCTTGGAGATTTAAAATTTTATTTTTGATAGTGAAAAAAATTAACTTAAAAAATCATCTTGGTCAAATCGGAACTCGGATGACGGCGGAACGGGGGGTACTATCACCACAGTTATATCATTTTACAATTTTCTTATGTGAAAGTACAACTAATATCAAATTGTAATCTAAAAAGATGCTTTCTGGGTAGAAAATGTCATGCTCATTGCAAAAAGCAATTATTGATTATTTCGGAACTACGTGAACGCGACCGTGGCAACGCTGAGGCGCGCGGCGACTCACTCAGGCACACTAGTAGACGCGTGGCTCACGAACGTGCGTCCGTTTAAAAAGCGATGCGGATTCGATAATTTTTAAATAATAATAACTACTTTGTGAGACATGACTCGAAAAAATGGTTCGGGACTCTTCGACTCAGTTTTTCATGAGAAATATCACTATATAAATGGTGGGCTCGAATTAGAATACACCCTGTATGTATTAATCGCAGGTCGATAATAATATTCACTGTTTCTAGATGAATACAAAAAACACGTTTCAATGTAAGTTTTAATCGTTTGGTAATTAAAAGTTAACGATAACGAATTTAATAAAGCTCGTGATGCATCACATACTGCGGTGGCTGGTTTTGGTGCACCTAATCTTTGCCATTGATTAAGCCATCCTAATAAAGTATTAGTGTCTTGACTTTCAGTTAACATATCATGAACTGAAATAGTCGTTCCATTAAAATTTATCGTTATAGAATACAAAAAGATATGACCTGATCGAGATCCATCATAGCGTGTGAGAGGCTTGATAATACTTCCTGTTCCATCAACTTGTATAACTGAATTTTTCTTCATTCTATTTAGATACTTTTTGTAAGTATATAATTGAGATGGAGTGCTAAATGAAACCAAGACTTTATCTCGT